GAGCTCTGACAAGTATTATCTTGTCCTCGACAATTTGCACTATCCTTTACCCCTCTTCAGAAGTTAGTAAACTTAGACAAGGTACCTAGGTTTGTCATCATCTTAATGACATCCCTTAGATTTCTTAACTTGGGCTATACACATTATATAATGTCTTTTCTAGTCCATTAAGTATTAGATTTCTACACAAGAAATCACTTTGATGCCAAACATCCAAGACCATACGTTTTTGGACGTTAGTCTCACTTTCGGGGACGATCCAAGAGTCCTCCAAAAGTAAACAAGAGAAGGAGAGAGTTGTGAGGTAGTAAAACATCCTTTGCTGCCACCTCTTCAAAACAGAGTTATTGAACTTCGATGGACTCTCGCCTTAGACTGGAGCAACTACCCTCAATAGACTAGTACTCGGTATAGCGGCCGATTGAGCACTTGAAGAAGACGTTTGGTTTCCTTCGGTTGCCATCTTATGAACTCACAAAAATTTCGTCTTAAGATTGTATTTTATTTGGTTTGTGAATATCAAAAAGAAGGCTTAAGGAGAATGAAGAAAACAAAACAAAAATCAAAGTCGAGGCACGTAATAGTTACGTTCTCTTTAAGATGAAATTGCCTCGTAAAATACCCACGGTTAACGGCAAACGCCTCCAAGATACAACGACTTTCGACTTGTACATAGCGGTAATTCAAATATACAAGCCTTCGGCGAACACTGCTATTGTTTGGAACTCTCAAGACTCAATGGAAAAATCATAGACCACAATATGTTATATGATCTTTGAAAATTAATGCAAGAGCTCTCTAATTTTCATGTTGTTCAAGTTTTGTATGATTTCATCTATGTGGGTATTTATAGATGTAGGGAAACACCTCCAAGAGGTTTAAGTGTCAAAAGACACCTTTTGGGACGTGTCCGAACAAGAACGGATGCATCTAGTGGCCAAAAGATACCTTATGGTCACCCTTTGATTTCCGCAGTCAGTTGCGCGCTCGTGCGCCGCGGGCTCATACGAGCTCATACGGACTCGGAATCGAGTTCTGTTTTTTCCTATTTTTCCCTAACGAGCCCTTCTACAATTCTAGCATACATAATGCATAATTATGCCTCGTTTAGTTTGTCCAAAACAAAATGTTTTGTGAACCCTACAACCTTTGAGTTATTAAACTCAATTAATTAACATATAATACTTAGAATTAATTTCTCATTCACCTTAAAAAAAGGTTTTGAGAATTTTCTAAGTCTTCTATTTACGAAAAATAGAATCATTAAATCGGTACAAAATTAATTTTTTCTTACATAAGCAAGTAAGGAGCAAGTTTCAAAAGGCATCCTTCAAATAAATTGTTGCAGTCAAGTAAGTTATTTCATTTTTCTTACTCTAATTTAGGTCATTGTTGAATTAGTCTCTAAAAGCTTTTAAGAGATATATTGATAACATATATTATAGGGAAATTTTTAGTCCTCCTATAAGATTTACAAATATTTTCAAATTTACATTCATATGAAAGTATTTTCAATTATACCTAATGAAACTACTTTATTTATGAGATTACATCAATAGCAGTTACCATATGTATTCAACTTCCATCCCCCTTTTTGTGGACTTGATTAAGAGAGAGAAAAGAAAAATAATAACTGATTCATTTATTATTTCCTTAATTCACGCAACTTGTACATTGTAATTCAAAGCAGCCGCCAGGTAGTATATTTTGAGTTTATGTTAGTATATATTCAGTGTATGTTGCAAAAATTATATAATTCACGCAGCCGCCAGGTGGTATATTTTGAGTTTATGTTAGTAAATATTCAGTATATGTGCAATAAAAAATAAGTCTTCCACAAAAAAATTATATCTTTTTTTTTTTTTACTTTTATACATAAAAGTATATAGAAACATATTATAACATTTACTTTTATTCCATATACAAACAAATCTTCTAATATGTTGAACATATATTGAACATATACTCCATATACATACAACATATACTGAACAATAAAAATTAATGTCTTTTTTGTTTATACTTGAAATATACGCAAAAATATACCTAAAAAAACGAGGACGTGAAATTTTATACCAAAAAAATTATGTCTTCTAATATACCGAAATTCTGGGGGGGGGAATTATTACCTGACATACACCAAAAATATACTTCAAATATACTAAAAATGTGCAACAGGTGCAGAAAGCTAGTGACAAAGTGTATAGCATAGAAAGAGAAAAGATACTTCGGATAGAGAGAAAAGTTACCTCGGATATACCCACCAGATAACCAGATAATCAGAGAAAAGTTACTTCCGATATACTCGGATATACCCAACATATAACCCAAGAAAAAAAAGAATTATTAAACAGATAACCAGAGAAAAGTTACTTCTGATATACTCGGATATAACCAACATATACCCAACTCGGTTTTGTAAATATACCTTCGAATTATATATATTTTCAAAAAAGGTTATAAATTCTTAAACACCCACAAAAGCTCAAAGTTGTTATTATTAAAAGCAAAATCAAATCATACAAGGAAAAAAAAAGGGGGGCAAATTCTAGGAAACACGAGACGGATTCTTCTTGTCATTTACTATACATATATTGTACATATACTGATCATACACTAATTTGTATAACGAAAAACCAACCATCGATTTTTCCAAACCCAACCAACCATATCCCCCAACCATGGCAACGCCGCAACCCTCGACGATAACGCTGGTGAAAATTGAGAACATCATAAAATTAGTAACATGTTCCTTGTTATGCTTGGACTGACGCAAGCGTATGAAGCACCTCTGCCGGGACTAAGGGTCGCCCCAGCCGAAGGACTTGTCCGTTCAGACCCACCACAAGATAGAAGAAGGGGAAAGCGCAAGCTGCAAACTAAGCCCCGACCACCACGAGGGTGGCGATCTGAGCCCGCCGCCACGCCCGACCTTCACACCGTCCGAAATCCCAGCGACCGCCATGGCGACATAGATTTTGGGAGAAATGCACATGATCGTATCTGCATATATCCAACAAATCATCAGCAAAATTATTTATCATCAAGAATTAGATATCAATTCTCAATAGTTCAATTTTCGCAATAAGATATCCACATCAAACGACAAACCTAAAAGAAAAATCGTGCGTATTGAATTCAAATGCCAATCTTTTCCTCTAAAGGGAAGATCAAAAGGAAACACAATTTTTTTTTTTTTTTTCAAACTCGAGTCTCATACACTAGTTCTCTATAACATAATTTCACAATTTCATCTGCTAAATGACTACAAGTTTGCATGAATATGTTTGATTCTGCTACAATAGAGATGGAAGATAGCAGAGAGAGAGAGATATAGATGATAGCATAGAGAGGATAGGAGAGACATGTTATTTTCCGTTCATTTTGGTAAGGTTATAATTCATTTCTATTAATTATCCTAATTGCATTTAATTAGGCCCAATAATTGCTAAATAACGGTTACATCTGATAATTCTACATCTTAGGTATAAGTGTAATATTTTATGCTTGTTTTGGTAATTTTATAAATAAAAAAATAATTGATATAAAGGTGTAATATTTATCATTACTTATTGTAAGGAGTGCAATTTCCTCATGTGTTATATGTGGTACCACATGTGTTAGTATGTGGTACAATGATCAGTTAAAAGTTTAATGACTCTTACAGAATGTTTGAATTTTTAGCTTTCTTAAATGATAATATATATATTATCTATTGACATATCAATTGATTTTAATCTTTTTCATTTTATTTTCTAGTATTAGGTTCAACCAATTATAGTTTGACATAATCCTTCTTTTGTTATGGTTCTTTTCACGTAATTTTGTTTGTTTGACTTTGTGATTTTGTTCTTATTTTGATAATCAATTTTAATTTAATTCAATTGTCGCATAAATAATGTAAATAATGTTGTAAACTTACTATAAACTAAAAATAAAATAAAGCGAACTTTTTTTTAAAACGAATAAACACTCCATAAATAATCACAAAGAACAATAAATGTGCAAAAGAGTAATATTATATTTGCTCCCTATTTAGTTTTATTTTTTTGGTGGGTCATCTTGTCTGACTCATGGCCGATGGTGGGTGTAGGTTGGGCTAGCCTTTGGTAGGCAGGCCAACACATCGAGTCCCCACCAAAAAATAGGTTTTGGTGGGGTGTAATCTGATCCACACACCACATGTCTGTTTTGATGTATCTAAGGGCGTGTTTGGATACAAATAAATCCGCTCAAAATTTATTTATTTTTTGTTAGCTAGAGTGAAATTTGAAAAAATATGATATGGTTAGTTGTTAGATTAAATAAAATAATTAAAAATAATTAATGTAAAAGTACGTAAGAAATGATGTGAAGTGATGATTAGTTAAAACTATATGAGTGGATAAAGAGTGAATTAGAATTGACGCAACAATGACTGATTGTTATTATCTAATTACAATAATTCTCATCTACCCACGGTGGACACATGTTAATATGCTCACCGCTTATGTGGCATGCACACAATGGTGATGTTAATATGTTAAAAAAAAATATTTCACCAATGATATTAAAAATAATATGGTTGAGTTAAAATTATTAAATTAAATTTTAAATAAAATTAAATTTATTTATAGACAAACCATCCTCCCACAAAGCAATCCATCCAATTCAATTCCATTGAGATGGACACACTAACCAATCACGCGTTTTCTGCAGCCAACGGCCTTCCTCCCAACGTAATT